GCAACTCATAAGAACATTTCAAAATCCACAAAAGAGGAAAAGTGCGTTTAAAAAGTGACCTTATTTATAATTCACTACCAAGCTGAATGAACAATTTGCCAAGATTTTAGAATACAAAGTGTTTAAACAAAGAGAAAACAAAGTTCTTTGTTTTGCTGTTTGTTATACTTTATTTTATTTTTATGCCTGAGTGATGATGTTTTCTGTTTTAAGATTACCATTAAAAGCTCTGGGTCCACACGAAAATTATAACGCAATTAAATCAAAATGAACTAATGAAAAATGTTTTGCATGACAAAAAAATATGGCAGTTGCCAGTTGGTAAATTTTAATGAAAAAGGCATTCCTGCATGGCTCTTAACATGTTAAACTATGACTGAAAACCAAAGAAATCCACTGCCATCTTGTGGAAGTGATGAGAAAAAAGCAGCCTGTATCAGTCAGATATGTATTACAATGAAGCACAAATGACAAAAATAAACTATGCTGATAAGTGTTTAAAACATCAGAAAGAGCTCAAAATGCAGAATAAAATGGCTATTTTTGTTGTAAACCATGAATGTAATTTATTGACTAAATAAATGAAAAGATGAAGCTACTCTGATGCACAAACATATCTTTTAACACAAAATGAAGACTTGTGAGGACTTTGATTGCAAGAATGTTTAAAGTATGTTTTTGTTTTTCAGTGATGTACTTTTGCACACATTCAAACACGTTCTTTGAAGAAAAAAACAAAAGCAGAATTTGCTAGAAGCAGAGCATAGTTTTATTCATCCATGAACTAGACCTAATACTGGTAGTTCCAAGTTCTTGTCCTATTTTTTCCCTCATTGCTGTCTTGCTTTACCTTCCCTGCTGGTTTGGCCCTGTTATTGTCTTCCACTGTTTTGATTCCCTTTTTGGATATTTATGGTTTTATGGTTCCTGTCTTGTCTTTTTCTTTTGTTAGTCAGTCTAGATGTTCATGTTGTCCTGCATGGAGTTACCATCATTTGGATTTGTATATGCATGCATGTGCTTGTTTTTATTACCTTGTTAGGACTGTTTTTGCAATACACACCAATTTGTGAGGACACACCGCTATGGGGGACCAACGCCCATTCATTGTGGGTTCAAATGCTGTTTTTAGGGTTAGACTACAGAAGTTAATAGGTGTTCAATTGAAGTTAATGCAAAGTCCTTGTAAAGAGAGAAAACATATGTATGTATGTACAGTATGTGTCTGTACATGTATTTGTATTGCTTGTTTGGACATTGACATTATACTATGCTTATAATAACATTGCTGTGTGGGCATTTGCCAGGTCCACATATTGGAAAAAAAACATTTTTGGGTCAGGGTTAGGTTAGGTTTGTTCCTTTGAAGTTAGGTTATGGTTAAGAGTTCAGGGTTAGCCTGTAGAAATGAATGGATGTCGACGTAAAGTCCACACAAGTATAGAGAGACAGTTGTGAGTGTGTGTGTGTGTTCATGATAAATTTCTTGTTTGGACTCATTGCCTGCTGTTCCTGTTGACAAAAAGTCGTTAAAGTTTTTTGCTTTGACTTTGAGTCCTTTATTTATTACCAGTTTTAGACAGCAAGGACTAATATATCACTAATCATGGCGTATCAATGACTTTGAGTTGTTAAATGTTTTCTAGAAAGTAGAAGATACTGAAAATCTTCAGTTTGCCATTCTCCAGCTGGAACCAATTCTAGAGTTTTTGACAAGAGGCTCCATGCTGGTACACGAGTCGGGCTTGGTAAATAAGGAACTGCATTTTGATGAAACTTGATTTGCCATCAAGCCGCCCACACTCAGAAATGTTTGCTCCCAGTGTCTATGTCCTCTACCTCAGTTACAGCCTAGACCACAGCCTACAGAAACTGTAGGCGAAGATTTAAGAGACTCCACATAATTACTTTCCATTTGAGCCAAGTTTTTGAAGTAGTAGTATGCTCAATACCAGCATTCTGGGTCAATCATTGCTAGACCCAGTCCATGGAGGGGTCCAGCTGGATGTTTATCTATCACTGAAAATTAACTAGACCAGCTACTGTCAAAACAGTTAAGAAGGTCCTGCTCTTTCTGCCTTTTCCTGTGTCTATCATCAAGGAGGTCCCACTGCACCTCTTTAGATATGCACCGCCTTTCTACAAAAGGGGACCCGAGGTTCTTGCCCCATTCAAAATTGTTGTGTTCCTGTTGATTTTTTTACTGAGCATCTATTGCATCAATGGTCCTGTCTGCACCCTGACTGCCTCCTTGATTAGGCTGTGCATCACYAACCACCTAGATGACCCCCAAAGGGTTCTCTGTCTTTGGCCAAACTGAATCCGTGTGGGATCTCTGCTTTGTCTGTTCTTGCAGAACAGCCCCTGTCTTTCCCCTTCAGACTGCCCCCAGGCTGTTTATTGAATTATGTTTCCTGGGTCCCTGATGTTTGTTTGGCTTTACTTCCTCGGCCTCACATGTTCCGCATTTGGGTCATCAATCCTCAAAGGTATAATTTTCTTCACTGACAAATTCTCTCACATGGTGCATAAAAAGGAAGCAAAGCCTTTGCTTCATCTTGTATGTGACCAAGAATGAAATACCCATGCATAATAGGAAAATCAATAAAATAATTTCTAGACATGTAGAGAAAAAATACTCAACTTGTACAGAAAAAAATCTATGGATTGCATGGCTTAGGTCATTTACATTGCAACAATCTTAAAAGACTGATGTGGCAATTCAGTTGATATTTTAGAAACCTGGAAAGACATAGTTATTGTCTTATATTACTAATTTTTGAAGAACTAAAGTTTACAAAGTACAGAACTAGTTAAGCTTTTTCATGAAACTGCCACAGTGAATGGGAACAGTGGGCAACGAGGCTGATGTACAGCTGAGGTTTTCCCCAGAAGAGCCATCTACACAACAAAGACACAGGCTAGGCTGTCTAGTTAGCACCTCAGCTGCAGCTCAGTGGGATTTTCCAGGACTGGAATGAAAGCTATGTGCATGACATTTCATCAATATAAGAAGGCTAGGTTGAGGGGTTTAATCCTTAATCCAACTGGTTTATGTGAGCTCAGGACAACTCAAAGACCTATTGAGTTGAATCAAAGGTACTGTCTGTGGAAGGACAAGCATGACAGGATACTGGCAAGGTTTGGACCTTCTGCTGTCAGTTCTTTAAGGTTTTTGACACAAAGATCCAGCATTCCATAAGCCTGTTTCTTCCATTCAGCCAACAAACTTTTTCCACAAATCATGTCTAAAATAAAAATACAGATTACTTTTGCACATAAGGGTAATCCATGTGACTATTGTTAGGATTGGAAACTGTGGACCACAGTTAACATTTAAAGTGAAAAGTTTGAAATTTGTTTTTGTTATTTTTATTTATTTCAAAATGTTTCAATATGTTGTATATTTGATTTGATCCAGTCAGAGGGGCTGTGGGCCAATAAGGAGGGACAGCCACCTTGTTCTATATGAAAAAAAAGTTAGTGTACTCTGCATTGATGAGTACCCAAACTAAAGTACTTGTACTTGTACTCTGAGAGAAAGTGATGTTGGGACACCCCTGGTTTAAAATGTTACAATAGACATGATTAGACATGAGTCATAGGTTTAGGACGTATTCTGCAATGAACAAAAAAAAAAAAAAATCTGAGAAGCTGGAAACATAATGGAAATAATTGAATTACCAGAGTTCCTATCATTCATTTGTATATTTGTGTCAGCTTTCATAATTTGTTTAGCGAATTCCAGACCAACTTGGTAAATTGGTACCCACAAAAAGCATTGTCATTAACAGAGACATGCTGTTAATGTGTCAAAGTATTCTTGGAAGGACAATGAAAGAAATTCAGTATAAATAATTCTCGAAAATACATTAGATAAGCAACTGCAAAAGCAATGTTAGAGTCACACTCCATTGAGTCACACTCCATTGAGTCACACTCCATTGTTTATCACTTGATGCAGTGGTATATTTCTGTCAATATTTTCTAACACAGTACAAGTAAAGCATGCACGGTTCTTCTTTTGAAGTTAAACACATTGAACCCAATGTGACATATGTATAGAACATTTTAATGCATGCACAAATACTGTGTTATTCATTTGGTCTTCTCTTTCCAAAGTCACCACTGAATCAAAGACAGGATGAGCTTGAGTCAATAAATGCCGCAACCTTGATTAYGTAATGCAATGCAACATAAGAAGCACACAGCAGACAGGAGGATTACTGTCTTGTTAACCACATGTGATGTTCCCATGGTGTCCGGAGAACAGGATAGATCAGTCCAAGTAAGAAATTAGAAATATATTAATGAAAAACATCAAATGAAAACAGCCTTATTGTTGAGGAAAATATCTGATCTAATGTAGTTTAATAGTTTTTAAATCTAATTTTAATCAGTCCTTTTCTGTAAAAAGTTATCTGCATTTCTTCAATTCAACTTCTGTATACCTAACAAATCGACAAACATGTTTGAACATAAAGTCTGTGGAAAAAGGTACTTGCTCTGTTTCATTTCTTTTAAAGTACAGTATATKGCCAATAGGAGGTTTAATTTGCGCTTGACACTGTTTTGCTTGGAACTGAACTCCACAGTAAAACTCCTGCCTTACTCCATCATCCAGATACTGTACACCTGGTGGTATCTGTAAGAATTAAAGACCAGGGAACCAAAATAAGCATGCCAAGCAATTTTTATTTTATTTTTTTTATTTTTTGTCAGCAGCTGTTCTGGAAAAGATGAGTATGTTGTCATCAGTAATTACTGCTGTGAGGAAAAACCTCCCCACTAACCTGTCACTGGTAGCCCTCCCTTCTCCTTCTGGTTATTCATTTTGTCTTACCCCATCCAGAGACCCACCCCCCACGCATCCTTAATAACCCACCCGCATTCAGCATCAAACAGCCTCAACAAATGAAAGCTCAACAGCCAGTTTCCAGGCACAAGTTTTTCAGCAGGAAAAAAATACACAAATAAACAGGAACAAGTTACCCAAAGGACTTGTAATCCAAAAGAAGAGGACAAATCTCAGGAGGAAGCAGGCTCAATCCACATCTGTGAACTGAGGCTAAGAAAGAGTGAAGAGCTGCAAACAGGTAAACTGTTTTTGTATGTGTGATGGGATTTATGTTTTTATGAGTTACCCTTCAGCTCTCTATTGTATCTAAAGGAATGACTAGTTTTTAACAGATTGAACAACAAGAGATGTTTGAGACAAGAACCAGAAATGTCAACACTAAACAGACCAAATGATATAGTTTATTTTGCAAAGTTTTTATATAAAAGGTGAAAAGTTTAGTTAGAGAAAATAAAAATGGAAAAATTAAAATGACCCCTTTGCTTACTGGCTTTCTGTACTTGTCAAGTTGTCTTATTAGTGTGGTTCATGAAGTAGTAATTGGGTTGTAAACACAAACTGAGTATATTTATTAAAATTAGAAATAAAAGTATAGCATCAGTCAGTCTATTTATCTTGGTGTTTATCATTCAGGACTTCAAAAAAAGTTTTAAAAATATTGAAACTGGAGAAAACAGATGAGAAACAGTTTAAGTGACAACAATAATAATTAGTGGGGTGACAACAGGTGTGCTCATCATGCATTATCCATAAATACTATGTTCAAGCATAATGGTGTCCATGTGTGCTCTTGGCACCCGGACACCTTAGGCCAGAATTTGATGATCAACTTTGTTGTCATCTCATCTGATCTGCGGCTGCATGTTTTGCACACTTGAGTGAGGAGAGGGGTGGAGCTGTCCGCTGACCGCTACCTGCTGGTGAGCTGGCTCTGATGGTGGGGGGAGGATGCTGGTCAAACTTGGTAGGTCCTATCTATCATGTTCTGGGGCTGAATGTCACAATGTTGGCAGACAAAGAGGAACAATACCTCAGAGACTTCATACAAAATAGAATTTATTTTATTTGGTGCCATATACAGGATCTGGTCTGGACCTGGGGAGAGTGAAAATGAGCTGGTTAGGAATGTTCTTGTAGAGAAGGAGGTCTTTGTACACAAAGAGGTTCTGGTTTTACTGTGAACTGTGAAGGTTTGAATCTTGAGGAGGCTGTTGAGTGAGATAGACCAGAGTGGAGGGTTAGTTCCAGAATCAGACAAGTGAGGATTTGTGAGGCGAGGACCAACCAGCACAGAAGGTTTCCAGAGCTGAGGGATCCACATGTGGTGAGCTTGATCTTTAACACGCTGGCTGTGGCACAGGAAATCAAACAGGAGTGGCAAGAAGTCCTTTCAAAGAGACAAATGAAAACATGAGAAACAATAATCATGAGCAAAGGTTTTAGCAGCTGAGAACAGTACCCTAATCACTTGATGTTCCAGCAAAGGTCTGAGTAGAATTGACCTCCTTATAAAGCTCTCAAGAAGTCTTTTCCTAATGGCTTGCAGCTGTGATCTATTAGCTGAGGATCATCCAGGAGGGGAGAAGATGACAGCTGCCACACTATTGGGTCTTTCTGGCCTGTGGGACCCAGGAAGTTGCTGATGGGTATTGGCAGTCCAAGCAGAATGCAGCTCAGGTGGTAGCTGAGGAAAAACCTCAGGCATGGGACGAGTTTGTAGAGGCCATAGAGAATAACTTCCGTATGGCTTCAAGGCAGTTTTGGTCTACCATTTGGCGTCACATGGGGTAGAGTGGAGCAATGCACCACCAGCATTGTTTATGGTGGGGATGATGTGCTGCTGACCTCGACTCAGGATGGTGTGCAGAGAACTTCAAAGACCTCCTCAATCCCACCTGCACATCTTCCAATGAAGAAGCAGAGTCTGTGCACATTGGGTTGGGCTCTCCAATCTCAGGTGCTGAGGTCACGGAGGTGGTTAAACATCTTCTTGGTTGCAAGGCCACAGGGATGGATGAGTTTTATCTGGAGTTCCTTAAGGCTCTGGAGGTTGTGGGATTGTGTTGGTTGACACGACTCTGCAATGTTGTGTGGACATCGGGTGAAGCTTCCCTGCATTGGCAGACTGGGATGGTGGTCCCCCTATTCAAAAAGGGGGCCCACAGAGCATGTTCCAACTACAGGGGGATCACACTCCGAAGCCTCCCTGGTAAGGTATATTCAGGGGATTTGGAGAGAGGGGTCCTCAAATCTCTTATTCAGGAAGAGCAGTGTGGTTTTTGTCCTGGTTATGGAAAACTGCACCAACTATACACTCTTCAGGGTCCTGGGAGCATGCATGGGAGATCACCCAACCAGTGAACCAGTGATTAACCAGCCCATCCCATGTGATTTGTGAACTTGAAGAAGATGTTCAACAATGTCCCTCTGGAAGTCCTGTGGGGGGTACTCTGGGAGTAAATGTAAATGGTCTGTACTTATATAGTGCCTTTCTATCCATCCAGGACACTCAAAGTGCTTTACACTTACAGACATTCACCCATTCACACACATTCACACACTGATGATGGCAAACTACATTGTAGCCACAGCTGCCCTGGGGCAGGCTGACAGAGGTGAGGCTGCCATACACAGGCGCCACAAGACCCTCTGACCACCATCAGTAGGCAAGGTGGGTAAGGTGTCTTGCCCAAGGACACAACGACTGAGTCTACTGGACGGGGATCGAGCCAGTGACCTTCCAGTTCCAGGACGACTCCTCTAACCACTCTACCACAGCAGCCCCAGCTGAGTATGAGGTACCATGCACTTTTATGCTGTTAGGTTTCCACAGCCAGTGTTAGAGCTTGGTCTGCATTGCAGGAATTAAGTCAGGCTCATTTCCAGTGAGAGTTGGACTCTAATCCTACGTTCACACCGAACGCGTTTTGAGCGGCCAAAAAGTGCAAAATGCCTCTCGTTGGACACACTATTTTCAGACCGAAGAACGCACTAGTGTTCAAACCAGAACAAGCAGCAGCAGCAGCGAGGTGTGGGAGGAGCATGTCCTCGGCGGGTGAAATAAAGATAAAATAAAAGAAAATGGCTTTGTTTTATTTACAAAAAAGCAAGCAAATGTTGCGCACAGCAGATAATTAACGCACCAGATGATTTAGAGGCAATTTGTTCGGTTAGTTTCGTCACTCCAGAAGCTGCCAGCTGATGGACTTTTTTCTTTTTTTTTTTTTTTTGGTCCAAGCTGATCCACATCGGTGCTGATATATCCTGCCAGAAAATCCAACTGCACATGGTCGATTTCAGGTAAAGATCTCCAGTCCTTCTGTTTTGGTTTTCAGTGGGAGAYGAGTCGAGCGGTGAAAAGTTCAGATATTTGAACTCTGGCGGCGGCTCAGGCGGCRGCGGCTTCCGCTGCACCGCATGCGTGGAAAACGCTCTGCGCCCCTTCCGCCTTCCTTGCGCACCGCCCAAAACGTACGTGACACGACGCACAACCCCTAGAGGCACGTCGTCATAGACTTTGCTTGTGAATCAGCCGCTCCTGCCACTCAAAACGCGTTCGGTGTAAACGYACCATAAGTGCCAACTGCCAAGGTTGCCTTTGTCAATGATTCTGTTCATAGCCTTTATGGACAGAATTTCTAGGTGTAGCCAAGCTGTTAAGGTGGTCTGTTTAAGTGGCTTTAGGATTGCATCTCTGCTTTTTGCAGATGATGTGATCCTGTTGGCTTCATCAGATTGTGATCTCCAGCATTCACTGTAGTGGTTCACAGCCATGCATGATGTAGCTAGGATGAGAATCAGTGCCTCCAAATCTGAGACCATGGTCTTGAGTCAGAAAAGGGTAAAGTTCCTTCTCCCGGTCGGGGAAGGGGCCCTGCCCCAAGTGGAAGAGTTTAAATACAGTATCTCAGGTTCTTGTTCACAAATGAGGAAAAAATTGAGCAGGAGATTGATAGGTAGGTTGGTGCTGTATGTTCAGTGATGTGGGTGCTGTACTGATCTGTCATGGTGAAGGGAGAGCTAAGCTGAAAGGCGAAGCCTCCAATTTACCCGTTGATCTATATACCCTCATCCATGGTCACGAGCTTTGGGTAGTGACCAAAATAATGAGATTACAAGCAGCTGAAATGGGTTTTCTCCGCTGGGTATCTGGGCTCTCCCTTATAGGGTGAGAAGCTCTGTCATCCAGGAGGGACTCAGAGTAGAGCCACTGCTCTTCCACATCAAGAGGAGCCAGTTGAGGTGGCTCAGGCTGCCACATGCAGATAAGCAGAAGATAATTGATGGGAGGACAGGTGTGCTGATTACTTGTGAAAGCCAGGTGGTGTTAAAGAATCTKTGATACTATTGAGGATGTTAAGAGATGACCAAAATTAAAATAGTCTCTCAACAGTATTTCTAAAATGACTAAAAATTCAAGCTGAAAAACATGAAATCTTAAAAGTAATACAAAACCAAAAACAACCCAAAAATCCAGAATATGACACATCAGATTTAAAACAAATATAGTGCAGTCAGGATTATGTGTGAAATTATCTTACTCAACAATACCTCCTTACTTTGATCAGACAGTTAAAATGCTACAAAATTGTTCAGAAATAGCTACTTATAGCTTTGACAATACATAAATAATGTAATACATAGATAATACGTAGAATACATAGATAAATACTGTAAATTTAGGAAGAATCTGACAAACCTGAGGGAAATATGTGTAGTTCTATCTCTAGTTGACATTTAGCCACAACAGTCATCTCCATGGATTTATCAAGACACTATTTGGACATTAAAATTATGGGGTCATTATTGGGGGTGGCAGGGTAATGATGTTAAAAAATCTAACTTTCACAAACCTCAGTGAGAAGACTGGAGTAACTTTCATCTAAGTCTCTTTTCTGCTGCTGCAGTCTTTACTCTATACAGTATGTAATGCAGGAAATAGTCACTCTGCCACAGCACCATTAGATATTAAATCACATCATCAACAAACAATAGAACACTCTACCACTGTAAAACTTTAATTTATTAACTTGACTGGACTTAAGAAAATTAAATAAACAAAATTTAAAAGACCATACTACTTAGCAGTCCCATGAGCCTTTGCTTTAATGAGTAAACTACAGTATATACAGTTTAAAAGACCTGTCCTCCTGTGGCCACAGTAAGRTAAGTTAGAACCACTAACATGAGGGAAGAAATGTACTTTCCATTTCTTAAATCCTACAATTTTTACATAGTAAAATCTTTTTTTTTATTATTCTTTTTTTACTGTAGCTTAAAGAGTCTTGACTCTGTACTTACATGGTAATTATATTTTGATGTCTGAAAGTGCAGCTAACAGGTTAAAAAAAGGCAGAATAATTGCCCAAATCTGTCTGAACATGGGTTTGTAAGACAACTGAAAAAGACAATCAATTCCTACAAATATGAATAAAAATGTTGAAGCAAATGTTAACGGATAGATTCTTAATTATTAATCAATTTAATGATCATGTTTGCCTTCTGTTTGTAGGCCACCTTTGATAAGCTAACTCTTGAYAAGATGTGGAAAAGGACGAAGAGCTCGGGCCAGTCCACCACAAGGCCATGTATAGTATTCATTACATTCTTCTAATATTTTACTGAACATTTTTCAGACAAACAAACATTATTGTAGAGTCTTAGCCAAATAGACCATCATTCACTTCTGGTTCATGTGAGCCTAAAAAGAACCTTTTAAAAAACTTTTTAGACAATTATGTCATGTAATTACACAGGAGGAAACATTCCACTTTTAAGCACTTCTGTATTTTATTACCCACTACATGTCCTCCAGCAGCAACACATCAAATTACCTTTATTTCATTCCAGTTCGATTTATTATAATTTGTAACACATTTTTATTTGTCTCATGCAGGTTTCTCACTTGTTCACCAATACATTCTGCATTTTAATGAGGTTTCTGGCAACAAGTCAGGTAAAATGAAGATCTTGTAATTTCTAAGAGTGTTTTAAATATTGTAATGACTCATATTGAGACTCAGCCAATGTAATAAATAACTGGAAGTATTGAACACCATACCACATATTTCTGTATGTGGCCTGCCTTTGAGCTAAACATGTTCATTTTTTTTAACAAAGCAGAAGGAAGACAGAGTATTTCCGTTATTTCTTCTCGTCGTAATGATCATTAATCTGCAGATTAATGATTCTGACAGGGGCAGAAACAAACTTCTGTGACATCTTCCATCTTTTCACATTCAAAGCCACRTTTAACAGCTGGGCATTTCACGGCTGAGTGGAGTTATTCACACTCCCATTAAATACCGTCGTTACAACGATCATTTATCACACACACGTTAAGTTCTTCTCCCCCTCGTGTTCAGTCAGTTTGGTTTTTCATGTCCTGTCTTGTGATGTGTTACATGTTTTGACAWAAGCACAGCAGAGAGGTTCACTGAGCCAACTAAATCTAAATGCACATTTTTTTATATAATTCTTGAGAAATTTATTTGAACTTATGATAACCACGGAGAGAAAATAAACTGCATCTGCTGAGAATTAAAGGGGAATTATTACACCTGATCCTCTTTATGGCTGAACATGATTGAACGTGTATAGATATACAAAAAATTTGATCCATCAGAGGTGGATCATGACTTTTCATGCTGGCAGTTTTTTTGTGTTGCAAAATCTTGTTATAATCAATTTACAGATGTTTTTTTACAAAAGCCACAAATTATTCAAAAAAACWACAACAACAACAACAACTAACATCTCCCATCAACAGTACAAGTTTTAGATGTAGGGAAGGGTATTTTTGCATTTTACACTAATGATAGTTTCAGAACTTTTAGTTGGACTAACTGAACTTAAGTGATGATTTTCTTAAATTTCCTAAATCATTAAGAATACCTTAATTATTGTTAATAACATTTCATTATAACTTAATTATCAACTCCTAACTCAATTAATAACTTAAGGGTGTCTCAGAATACAAGTATTTCAGTTTTAGTATTCGTCGATACGAAGTACCAATCAAGAGTACTTACTGAGTTAGAAAATAAACATGACTTTGAAAACAAATTTTTGTTTATTTAAAACACAATGGCTCTCCTTCCTTATACGCCTTCAGACCCTCTGACTGGATCAAATCAAATATGCAGCATGCAAAATTTTATATAAATATAAATAATGAGATTTTCTTTCCACTTTTATAAGTTTCTTAATTATGGTACTGACAATTTTTTTCACTTGAAATGTAAACTGTAACACGTTCATTGGAATATCAACACCTGTATCATCGGACCCAACACAAGGACACCACTAAATTAAATATAAATGAGTTATTGTGTTTGACAAAAATGGGCAATGCCCTGACACCATGTTGCACTCCAAATAAACTCATGTTTCAATGAAAGCATAGATTCTTGAAGGAATGTATATGTATTCTTGCTAAAGTTTTAAACACCTATACAGATTATGTAATAAGAATAACTCCCAGCTAATATCACACCATTTTAGCTCAGTGTCTGTAATAAGTGAATGGATTCCAGTCATTTAAGGGTTTTCTAAAATTTATTATTCTTATTGGGTTGGCTTCCTAAGTGAATCAATTGCAGATTCATAATCAAATATTTAACTGCTGAGAGTTTCAGTGGTCCACAAGATATTTTATTTAATAGACAGTTATATGATTGCCCTTTTTATGACAATGGATAATAAAAAAGAACTTAATGATTTATTTTTGGTTGTGTTAAAAATACAGTATGTATAAACTTTAGTATGTTCTCAGCAGCTCTGGGAACATGACTTTCCTGACACCTGCTGGTGGTGAATAAGAAACGGTTTTATTCTTCCAAAAGCAGCATGTTTGTTTTAAACATTTCCTTCCAGTCCTATAATTCTAGATCAGGTGTTGTTTTATTTTTTAGAAAGTTATGATTCCTACAATTTACATACTTTTCTGACTTTAGCTGCCATCCGGAGAAGATCTAAGACACCCGGAGTGATGATCACACAGAACACAACATGTTTGCCAGAGGGTAAAAGCACTCCAGATTTTCAGTGTAAACCAGCACCAGTTACCGTTCAGGAAGGTGAGTTTTTTTTATGCCATTAAAAACACTACAGCTTCACAAACACTCTGTGCGGAATTTAAAAGCATTCTTTCATTTTTAACCCAAGCAGATGTCAAATAAAAAATGTGGGTGAAAAAAAACAATTTCTTTCTGATTTATTTTAGGAAAAATAGCTGTTTTCAAGGCCGTGGTGACGGGAAATCCAACACCTGACGTGTCATGGAGACGAGCCAGAGGAAGTCTCTCAGAGAAGGACAAATTTCAACAAAAGTACGATGAATCAACAGGAGAACACACATTAGAAGTGAGTCATGGATTTTAAAAATACTGTGTGAGTAACACTGAAAGCTTTAACTTTATAAAATATAACTTAACTAAATCTTTTTTACATTACTAAAACATAAAATACAGCCTTTTCTAAAGAAATGTATATGTAACGCATTTTCAGATCCATGCAGTAACCGCTGAAAAGGCAGATACCTACAAATGCTATGCTGTGAATGAATATGGCAAAGCTGTCTGCTCAACAACATTAAAAGTGATTGATGGTAAGATTTATTAAGACAATGTGGTTAAACTCAGCTTTACACTGACAGAACAAACAAAACTTTCAGCTGGATTCAAATACAGCAGCTTGTTATCTGTGCTTGGTCCTTGTTAGGGTTGTTTTTTTACTTTCTTTGATAAYTAGGTGGTATACAGTATTGTTATGAATATTATATTAACAATCAAGTCATWTTTAACATCTAAATTAAGTTGTTTCTGAAATAATCAACAAAAATATTAAAATTACAAAACTAATATATGATGTGATTGAATCAAGGTCTCATTTTTTATTGTCTAAGCATAAAAAAGTAATAGAAAACTACAATTCTTCAAAACTTCAATTTATCAGTCTCAAGAAGTTCCTGATCATTTACTGTACAGTTGTATTAGTAGTCCTATYAGTTATTTAAAAAGAGGAAAGAAAAAAAACAAATGTGTTGTTTTCAGGTTCAACAAATCCTGAAGATTTCAGAAAATTGCTAAAGAAAAGGTTAGAACTTTTATGCTACTGAAACTCCAAATCGGATCTTTTGCCACATATTCTGCATCACTTTTCATTTGAACAGATACAAAGTTGTTTTTTTCCCCATTCTGCAGTAAAGTAGAGACCGCAAATGGAGATAATGAAAAGTTTTGGGATGCAATGCTGAACGCAGACAGAAGAGACTACGAGCGCATCTGTTCCGAGTATAACGTCACGGATCTGCAAATGATTCTYAAAAAGCTTGAAGAGAAAAAAACAGCAAGAGATCAAAACAAGGATCAGGTGTGGAAACTAACAGTTTTCACACAAGATGGATTATTCTCTGTAAAAGCTGATGAAGGCTGTAATAAATATTTCTACTATAGATGTATCATTTTTGCTAATGACCCACAATACATTWACTCATAGCTTGAGTATGTATGACTCATTCACATTCCTGTCAAAACGACTGCAAGTTTAACTAAGTGTTTTTTAAATATCTACAAATGCCGTGATGACACTATTAGCTATCAGAAAAAGCCAATTATAACACTAAATTCTTTCTTTTTATCTTTGTTTTAATCCTTCTCCACCTGAAACTGTTTAGGATGGTGTCATTTGCTACAATGCTGATTCAGAGAAACTTGGCATCAGGAGCCCTGGGAAGACAAATGATACTAGAAATAATAGGTTGCTGCAAAATGACACAGATCTGAACTCAGAGGATGTTGAAGAAGTCAACCAACACAACAAAGAGCTAAACCAAACCACTGCAGAAGAGGACCTACTCCCTACAGAGTTCAAACGTAAGTTTAAAACAAASAAATGAGCTTGGCGTTGGTYGTTCTGCAATAATAGGTTATAAAAAGTTAACATTTCGACACTTGATTAATAATTTTCTARGAGGGAACTGGACACAATAAAGTAAATGAAGAGAGGATAAGAGTTTGAGTTGATCTAAAGGTCGAGTCCTGTATGGTTGGTGGCGTGGAAGAAGCACTCAGAGTGGGGGTTCTGTCTGAGTGGGCAAAYATGCTGGCCAGCTAAAGACTCCAGCAGATAAGTAGATGTTGGTAGGGAAATTATATGAAAATATATGGAGTACTASATTGGACTGCATGGATATGCAGTCAACTTAAAAATATTAAAGCAATAAAAGCAGATGAGAAGGAAAAGTGGGATGAAGGGTGAAGACAAACTGTTCTTAACAGATAAAATGACTATAAAAAGGTGATTAAAGCTGTCAACCCAACACAACTCCAGTTGTTCTTCTTTTTGTGTTTTAGTAAACATACAATAGTTTAAAGGAAGCTGAACGGGGTGGTGGGTGGCATGGTGGCTCAGCGGGTAGAGCTGTTGGCTCTCAGTGAGAAGGTAACCAGATTGAATCCGAGCCAGGGACCTTTCTGGGTGGTGTCTGCGTGTTCTCTCCATGCATTTGTGGGTTTGTTTTTCAGGCACTCCAGCTTCACAGACCAAAAAACATGAAYGTTAGGTTAATTGATAACTCTAAATTGTCTTTAGCAGTGACAGCAGGAATGGTTGATTGTCTCTTTGTGTCCCTTTGATGGACTTGTAACCTGTTCAGGGTGCACGCCCTCCCTCACACAGTGACTGCTGGACATGGGCACCAGTGACCCTGAATGGATAAAATGGGTAACCATAATGGATGAATGGGTTATGATGAGTAGTTGAGAAGTCAGTATCTGCAATCAACAGCACTTAAAAACAAGGTCTAAGTGACAATGCATGGAATACACAGGTTTAAGATTTGAAAATAATAAATCACTTCTTTTTTTCTAGTTTCCAATGTGGATTTTGTTTTAAAAATTCAAGAAATTAAAGCTGAAGAAGGAGATGATGCCCTTTTTGGGTGTGTTCTGACACACCCCCTACCTAAAATAACATGGATGAAGAAAGGTGCYGCCCTGGAAGATGGAGAGAAATACAGGATAACTGTGTCTGAAGACAAACTGATTCACAAGCTGCTRATTAAAGACTGCAGAAAATCAGATAAGGGGATCTATTCGGCTATAGCTGGTATGACATCTTGCAGTGCCTGGCTGGTGGTGAAAGGTAACATTAAAATGATTTATGTTTCATTAACATGCACCAGTGGAGTAATGTTTTCCATAAAATGTAACATCTTGTATGTTGGATTTTAATATGTTTTAAGCTCAGAAAAATCTTTTATCTGGTGGTAAGAAGGAATTTTGCAAAACTGTCCTGGCTGGTGGAGCACAAACTGACCTGGAGAGRGTGGCCAAAGAGCAGCAAATGAAAAACCAACAGGAAATGGAGAAGATCCTAAAAGCTGTAAAAGCAAAACACTCAGCAGGAAAAACAAAAGACAACGTGTCATTACACACTGGAACAGACCGGAAGGAAAATGAGCGAAAAGAGAACAAGCAATGCAAAAACTCAGAAGATGATGCTGTAACAAACTTGGATGATTTGGAGAGTGAAGTGGAAGAAGAGGAGCAACTGAGAGCAGGAGGCATCAAGAGCGAAAGGCACGCCAAAGCACAAGTGGGCTTCAGTAAGGCAACAGGTAAACTCTTCACATATTTCAAGGTAGAAGTATTTAGGAGCAGATCTAGCTCAGGTGGCTGTGGTGGAGTGATTAGGGGAGCCTATCTGTAACTGAAAGGTTGCTGGTTCGATCCTCAGTCACTGTGTCCTTGGACAAGTCACTTCATCCACCTTGGCTTCCTCTGGTGGTCAGAGGGTCTGGTGGCACTGGTGCATGGCAGCCMTGCCTCTGTCAGTGTGCCCTGCAGCTTTGGCAAATGGGTGAAAGACTGTAGTGTAAAGCACTGTGGGGTCCCCATGTGGTTAGTGCTTTAGAAGTTCAGTCCATTTACCATTTAGCTCAAGGCTGATGGGGTACCAATAAAATATGTATAAATTAGAAAGTGTATTTTTGTTTGCAACTAACTACATTTTAAACATGTTTCTGCCATGTTGGTAAAATGTGTACTGTCATAAAATATTTTCTTGTTTTGATCACTGGTCTGTCCAGAGTTCAGTGATGAATGCACCTATGTGGACCAGAAACAACTATTAATCATGAGTCAAAATCAAATGGATAAGTCCAGCAGAAATAAATCCTCCAAAACATCTGTCAAATRTCAGAAAAAACACAAGAAGGTTCACTGGAAAGACCATCCATCAGGTAAGAAAGGAACATACAGTACACACTATAAGATGTACAACACCCTGCTTATGTTGGTAATCATAGTAATTTGGCTTGAATAATGGTGCAGTAGCTCGGTGGTCGGTGCCACAGTCTCATAATCCTGAGTGAGTAGATTTGAGCCCAGCTTGAATCAAAAAAAAAGTCGTAGGTGTAAAACAAAACTTGTGAGTCTGCGGACTGTGGTGATCCCTGCAGAAGGAAGCAATTTAAATAAAAACAATTTGCCTTTAATCCAATAAATTAAAACAATCCTTTTTTGAAACAAGGGCATAATTAGTAAGGATATATACTTTTTACTACATAATGCAATGTGTTTTGCATGAATGTGCTCTGACAGATCTAAATGAAGCAGCGAGTGACAGCGACACTGATGAGAATGAAGAGTCCTCTGATCAGAAAGAGCAACAAAAAATTTCAAAACAAAAAAAGTTAAAGAAAGAAGTTGGAGGTAAGAGATCACACATTGTATTTTACTGTCCTTTAAAGTTAGGTGGAAGTAAGGAAAATGGCACATGGTAAATGGACTGTACTTGTATAGCACCTTTCTATCCATCCAGGACACTCAAAGCTCTTCACACTATGATCTGTGTCCTCATTTGCCCATTCACACAGCACTCTGTTAGGTCTCCTACACAGCTAACATGTACAATCATTTATGGAGACGAATCAGTGCCAATCACATTCATACACTGATGGGACACACATCAGAGGCATTAGGGTTGAAGTAACTTGCCCAAGGACACAACAACTGAGACAGCTGGACGGGGGATCAAACTGGCGACCTTCCAGTTCCAGGACGACTCCCCCTAACCACTCTGCCACAGCCACCTACATGGATCTCCTTTTTTTATTTTTTACAAATCTGAAAAGTATAATGAGCATTTGAATTCAGTCCTTTTAACTCTGACCGACTTGTGTGTTTTAAATAAATGTGCTCTTACACATATGAAGCAGCAAATAATGAACCAAGTGCCACTCTTCAGACAAAGCAACAAACAAGTTTAAAGCCAAGAAAAATGTCAAAAGAAATGGCCGATGGTAAGAGACTACAAATAAATATTGTTGGACCAGTGTTACGTTAGCCTGGCCCTTGCCTTCCTATGCAGCTCCGCTCAATTCTAGTTTCCCTTCACTGCTCCGTCTGGGACTTCTCCCATTGAGATGGATTTCG